TTTTATGACCAGCATGTGGTGGTAAGTATACATGGGTAGATAACCGCCACCTGCTGGACATTATTTGTAGCGCAAGTCATCTCAGGTTCATGCAAATGTTCAGGCGTTATCATAGTGACCCAAGGGAGCGCTGCACGTGTTACATCAAGGATATCTTTACATTTTGGTACTAGTCTTCTTATATTCGGATTAGGCATTAATCTTGTGAAATTAGGGTTAGTACTACTAACCCTAATTTCACAAGATTAATGCTCCGCCACAGCAGGCGCATGTGTCACAGTATAGGAGGGTTCACAGATTTATTGTAACACTCCTCCGGGGCTGCACACCGGGGATTTCAGTAAAAATTTTCCCCAAAACGCATAATTAATGCAAATGTATTTCTTTTAATGATGTTCTAACAAGCCAAAACGAATCTTTTTTTTTTTATTTCTTCTTTATATGTCCTTTAAAAAAGGTAGAACCTTATTTCGGACACAGCTTGACTTCTAGTTTTAGTGAATTAAAGAAATATCCACGAGGTAGGGAACCCCGTGACTAGATTTAGTCAGCGTCGCTGCTTTCGTCATCTTGCTCTCTGCGGGGCAAAGAGCTGAAAAAAAGAAAGAGTGCTCACTCTGTCCTTACTGTATCAGCACTCAGGGGAGAGTTCTTATGAAAGTATTTTTCTCAAGTTAACCTACGAGGAAATATCAGAGTAGGGGTTTTTGACCATAGACGTGTTAAACGGAAGAATTAGAAACTTTTGACAGGATTGTATAGACATCTAAATATTTCTATAGTGCACAGGTCACTAATAATAATAATAACACAAATACTGACTTTGATAATACTAATGATGATAATGGTAATATTAATCAATACATAAATGACAACAAATTGCTGATTATGAGGTAGCCTATTAACAGTTAAAACAAAAAAAAATGGTTATAATAATGATATTGCTTGCATCATTGACTCTACAGCAGTCAGTGACACTGAGCATACATGTAGTAACAGTGGGGAGAAAAAACGCCCTTTTAATGGGAAGAAACTTCTAGGAGGACCAGGCTCAGTGTGAGTGGCCTTTTGCCGAGGTCAACTGATGTTCAATGAGATAGATAGAGAAGTATAAAATGAAAATAGAAGCACAATTAGCCAATTCCTTCCAGGGTTCCAAGATGAGAAAATTGTTGAGCCCTAAACCATCAATCCTCTGTGAAATGTTTACTTGCTTCTTAAATTAGCTTTACTATGTTTTAATTACTGTTATTGTAAATGCCCTTTACAGAAGAACATTACTAATTAGCAACGGCTACAAGTGCTACAGTATATGACATGTAAAATGAATTTATTTGTTCCTATCAAATAAATCAAAACAGTGCTATTTATTTATTTGTTGAAAGTGATCAATAAAAATCAGTTAGTTTTCTAAATAGGTGATTATTATATCATGATTGAGATTATCATTCATAACAATGAAATCAATGAAATAAACTGTAATAACTAATGTTGAAAATATGGAAGCAGCATGGTGTTTTCACTTATCACCAGTACTATGTTAAGTTATACCAACTTTTATCATTTATAACCTTAAAGGTATTGTTGAGGATTTCTTTTTTCCAGATGGATCATTAAAATGATTGGTCCTCCTAATTGTCAGTCATCGTCATGATATGTTTAGGAAAGGCCGTTATACGTGCTTGTCCCCATTTTCACTTACTGGTGGTAAATCCGACACAGTGGAAAAATTGCAAATCTTCTTTTGGAAAGTAAGCTTGTATAAGCGATGCAAAGAGAAACTTTTAAACAGAACGTGCATGAGGAGAAATGGGCTCTTGCATGGTCTTGCACGCGTTTACGGTAATAGGCATTCCCTCTCGGGAGTGGGTACAGGGTTGTGCACGTGCATTTTTTCTTTTTAAGTGGAGAGGGCAGGTCTTTTTTTTTTAAATTACGAAAACCCTCCATTATACATTCAAATAGCTAAACATTTACTAAAACAAAACAGTTTACTGATTTATTAACCACAGGTTCAGTACAGAAGCAGATGATTATTATACACAATGTGTTGCTTGGTTTATTGATTTATATTTTTTCTTCTTTTAAAGGTCATAGCTGATAAGTATTGAAGCATGTAAGCCACTTGAAAGAAAAACAAAGAAACATGGTAAGTTATAATTATGAGACCAAAAGTCATATTTTTACTTTAAAAGATGAAAAAAATAGATATAAAATTATATTTATGAGGTTTTAAAGTCATACTTATGATTTAGAAAATTATGACTCTGACAGTCATACAATTAGAAGCCATAATTATAGGATTTAAAGTAATAATCATGATTTTTACAAGTTGAAATTCTGACGTAGCGTGGCATTTTTCAACCTTCAAGCGTGGAAAAACTACAGAAGCCTGTTTCTGCCACATAAAATTTAAAAAATGACAAATAGAAAGTCATAACTATGAAATTCAAAGTCATAATTATAGGATTTAAAGAAATAATTATGATTTTAGAAGTTGAAATTTTGACATAACGTGGCATTTTTTAACCGTCAAGTGTGGGAAAAACTATGGAAGCCCGTTTCTGCCACATGAAATTTAAAAATGCCAAATAGAAAGTCATAACTATGAAATTATAACTGATAATTATAGGATTTAAAGTAATAATCATGATTTTTACAAGTTGAAATTCTGACATAACGTAGCATTTTTCAACCTTCAAGTGTGGAAAAACTACGGAAGCCCTCTTGCACGACATGAAGTTTAAAAAATTAAAAATAGAAAGTCATAATTATGAAATTCAAAGTCATAATTATATGATTTAAAGTAATAATAATTATTTTACAAGTTGAAATTCTGACATAACATGGCATTTTTTAACCTCCAAGTGTGAGAAAACTGTGGAAGCCCGTTTCTGCCACATAAAATAAAAAAAAAGCCAAATGGAAAATCATAATTATGAAATTCAGAGTCATTATTATGGGATTTAAAGTAATAATCATGATCTTACAAGTTGAAATTCTGACATAACGTGGCATTTTTTTAACCTTCAAGTGTGGGAAAACTATGGAAGCCCATTTCTGCCACATGAAATAATTTTTAAAAAGCCAAATAGAAAGTCATAATTATGAAATTCAGAGTCATAATTACAGGATTTAAAGTAATAATCATGATTTTACAAGTTGAAATTCTGACATAACGTGGCATTGTTTAACCTTCAAGTGTGGGAAAAACCGCGCATGCGTTCTCAGGCTACTCAACAATTTCGCGAGAGAGTCGCCCATCTGTTCATCGCTTCCTATCTCTGCCTGCTTACAGTCAGTAGCAGCAGTTGTTTGCTGCCGCTCCAGGGAGCGTCCCTCTGGTTAACGAGTAACGACAGAGGTCACTTCATAAACTCTTCTCCTTCAGTCGGCAGCATCCCGACAGGAGGAAGCAGGAGGTAAGAGGCAGACCTCCTTCATGTTAGCTTTGAAGGTTGACAGTTAACTCCTCTTTTTATCACAGATGTAGGAGCTAGTACTACTACCCGCACCTGTAGGCGTTTGTGTCAAAGTGGCTAGCTTGTTTAGATTAAAACGCAAAGGTCCCCCTTTAAACATGACATCAATGGCTTTATTAAACGAGAGAAAGCGAGTTAACTAGCAAAACAGCCTTCCTGGTTGTGGTCCCAAACTTCAGCGTGTCTTATCTGTCCAGCTCATAGCCTTGGCGCTTTTAAAATTGGCTCCTCCTTTCACGTTTTGTCCTGTCATGTTGACTTTCAGAAAATATCTGCATTGTTTCCATACAGAGGAATGAAGATATTCGAGTTTCGGTGATGACAGAGGAGACAACAGTGGGATAGTATATAAGCCAGGAGACACAGCAGTGACTTCCTCTCTACTGTGAGCCATTTCTCCCTCTCTATGGAGCCCCAGGATGTGTCTGTTCAGGAGGATGCGGTGGATCCAGGCTCCCAGCTGATGCTCAGGGTGGATCGTCCGGTCTATGATGAGGCTTTCCTCAGGACTCAGCTCCTCCATCGCAAAGAGGAATCCAGCACATGCTGTCAGAAGCTCAAAGACAAGTTCAGGTGAGTCAGTTCAGTCTTTAGGACTTATCTTGATGGCTAAGTGTTTCTGTACAGAAGAGGCTTAGGGCCACTGATTAAAGAAAGTTAACTGATTTTTAAATATTATTTCAGTTAAAAAATGGGAAAAAGTCAGAATTCTGAGATTAAAGTCAGAATTCTGAGATTAAAGTCAGAATTCTGAGATCAAAGTCAGAATTCTGAGGAAAAAAAGACAGAAATCTGAGGAAAAAAAGACAGAAATCTGAGAAAAAAAAACAGAAATCTGAGAGAAAAAAGTCAGAATTCTGACTTTAATCTCTGAATTCTGAGATTACAGTCAGAATTCTTAGAAAAAAGACAGAAATCTGAGAAAAAAAGTCAGAATGCTGTGGAAAAAAAAGTCAGAATGCTGTGAAAAAAAAATCAGAATTCTGAGGGGAAAAAAAAATCAGAATTCTGAGGGGAAAAAAAATCAGAAGAATTCTTTTCTCTAAATAAAATTTAAAAATCAGTTAACTTTTTTTTCAGTGGCCCTAATCCTCTTCCGTATTTCTGAAAGGCTAATGTATCAGATAAAAGGTACTTGTCCAGTTACGGATTTCAACTTTTTTGTTTTAAAAACATAAATGTTTCAGATCATTTAGTTTAAACATCAAGAACATATAGCTAAAGTTTTTGATTTAAAAAGGAAAAAAAAAAAAGCCTCCATATCGATTTACCTAAGATGTATCTCTTCTTGTTACATTTTGAATGAGCTTAAATCAAAACCCCACTAGCAAAATAAAGATGTAACATTTGATGGAGCCTTTTACATAACTTTTACAAAACAATCACTAATGATTGTTTTGCAAATCGATTAATCTTTCGATTATTTCTTCGGCAGCATAGCAAAAGGTCCCTTAAAGATGATTTTTATCTAATTTAAACAAGGTGAAACTCAAAACTTAGAGCATATTGATAAATGAACATGTTTTTTTTAATCTAAAATGTAAAATTGTTACATATTTTTTTACAATCTTGGTATAATTCCTGCTCTAAGTGGGTCACTGTCAGCTAAAAGCACGTTTTAGAGTCTCTATACTCCACTTAACGATTAATCGACTACTAAATTAGTTGATGATTACTTCAATAATTGATTAATCACGATGAATTGTTTTAGCTCCAATTTAATAATAGCAATCTTATCTTTTAGATTCAAAAACATTGTTGCCAGGCAGGTTTTATTTAAGGTGGTTTCTGTTTGTTTGATAATATCTGGCAACAATCCGCTTGCGTGTGACTAAATGAACCAGGTTTTGTTTAATGATGGAGGTTAAATTAATATTTAATAAAGGGTTTAAAAGCAGGTTGGTATCTGCTTTTCTTCACATGATGAATAAAATATATATATTTTTTGGGTGCGCTTAGTTTATTTTGGCTAAAGAACTGTTGGATAACACCATAAATGTCTGTCTTGTTTTATAGGTGTTCGTCTGCCAGGGCCAAAGCGGTAGCTTTGAGTTTCCTTCCCATTCTAACATGGCTGCCATCCTATCCTGTGAAGCAGTACCTTTTTTCAGATGTGATCTCAGGTCTCAGTACAGGAGTCGTGCAGCTCCCACAAGGTTAGTCCCCCTGCAGCTCGTAGAGCTACTCTACTCATCTGGAACTAGTTAGGAGTTAAAAACATGTCAGGACACGACTGCGGGATACGCGGCCTGCCTTTAGCTTCATGCTGTCTTTATTTTTTCACTCTCTGTGGGTTTGACACAGTGAAGCAATCAGATCGTTGAACTGTGTGGTGAAATCCCTCATTTTTTTTTCTTATTTATCTTGGTCTGCTCCACAGGTCTGGCCTATGCCCTTCTTGCTGCAGTGCCTCCAGTTTATGGTCTATACTCCTCGTTCTACCCCGTTCTTCTCTACACTTTCTTTGGCACGTCCAGACATATTTCTATGGGTAAGACGTCATATCAAGGAACCTTTTTCTGCTGAGTCACGAATCTCAGTGTCACAAAAACGTTCTATGTTGCTAAACTCAGCTCTGTGGGATCATAAACACAGATGGGGAAAGTTTACACGACAACGGATTGACGCTCTGCAGGTTTCTCGTAGTTGTGTCGAGTTTTTTTCATTATTAAAGCCTGTTCAAACCGATAAAATAAATAGTTCGACAACATTCCCCTCCTAACCCCAGCTCCTAATTAATTAGCTTTGTCACTTTTTTTTCTTTTAGAATATTGCTATAATAAATCTTTAACTTGTTTCCATTTGTTTAATTGTTCACTTACTGTTTTAATGCAGCAAACTTTTCAGGTCATTTCATTTTATTTATATAGCACCAATTGACAACACGTCATCTTAAGGCATTTTACAGAGAAAATTCAACCAGATCATTCAGTCAGACTGATTCAAAGTTTTATATCTATGGAAAGCCAGTTGATTGCATCGACTCATTGACTCAAAGGCAATTCCTCACACCAAGAATGCTTGTAGCAACAGTGGAGAGGAAAAACTTCCTTTTAAGAAGAAGAAATCTCCAGCAGAACCAGAGTCTGTGTGAGCGGCCAACTGCTGAGGCTGACTGGGGTTCTTGTTGACAGTAACAGACATACAGTAAGAAGCAGAGATACAAAAGGCAACTGGGAATCTGCTCCACAGGCGGCCCCATCCAGGAAAAATAGCCAGACAGACGAGCTCCGAGCCAGCTCTCACGTCAGAGAATGAAAGACAGCACATACAGTTAGTCACAGTCAGAGAAACAGGACTACACTGTAGTAGGCCAATAGGCCAAGCTCCAACATCTATAAACAAAGGTGTTGATGGCAGCAGCACAGCTGATATTTCTCTCCAGGATGGTGTTACAGCCAAACAGGAACAGACCAGATGAAGCTACTATGAGGAAAAAGCAGAGAGAGCATAATGTTATAGATTGAACTAAGAAATTCTGCAGAGTTGGAGAATAGAGATAGAATGAAACAGATTGATGAAAAGGGGTCCTCCAGCAGTCTAAGCCTTTAGCAGCATTACTGTAGAGATAGCTCAGGATAACCTAAGCCACTCTAACTCTAACTAAGCTTTAATAAAAAGGAAAGTTATCAGTTGTTTCATTCACATTTCTTTATCTCCTTTAACAGATTGCAAAAAAATACACAATTCTGGCACAAACGTTTCCTGTTGGAAGGAATTCTGAGGTTCCAGTTAATGTATTTTTTTGTAATTACAGCTACAGTAGCTCAAGGTTAGGCTCCACTTTTTAAGTTAGCAATTTTTTTTTTCGCACAAGTTTCCCTTCACAAAAAAAAGTAAAAAATTTTTCTCTAAAAAGTAGGTCTCTGCTTCATAAACGTGTTTTTTTTAACAGCTTGAATCTCATTCAGAAAACCTTATTGAGTAAAAGGGTAAACATGCTACAGTTAACCTTTAGCTCTTTAATGTTGGGAAAGTTCAACCCAGGTGGTTTTTAACATCTGATTTTGATCCTTTTTGAATTTTATTTTCAGGTCCTGAAGAGGCTCTAAAGCAGTTTTTAAAAATTCTGCAGTGACTCTTACCCTCCTGGGTAGGAAATCTTCTGAGCTCATCCAGAATGAGATAGTGTGACTGGGATTAATAAAGCTCTAGTGCGTTTCATTTTAAGCTCAGAGGAGACAAACCGTTCCTAAAACCAAAGCAGAACATCTAGCTCTCACAGTTTTATTTTCAAAATACACAAAAATAAAACATAAATGATTATACCAATGTAGCAAATCTTTTTCCATTCTTTCTTATTTTATTCTGTTACGCTTTTCACCCTTACATGTAGATTAAAACAATCCATCTTAAAGTTTCCATTTTCACCTTTAAAAGACAATTGCCTACATCATCATGTCCAAGTTAGTGTTGTCACATTACCATTTAAAAATGCAAAATAATTAAATGCTTAAAAACATATTAACATAAAAAGCTAGCCTTTTTTTTCAATCACAACAGAATCTGTGATTCTCTTATTTGAATAAATAAAGAAATAAGACCAAAATATAACACAATTGGACAATATATCTAGAAATATAAAACGAACAATCGCAAAAATATGCAAAAAGCACTTGTATTTAGTATTGATACTATAACAAATTAGAACTGCATCTGAATACAGAGTTTAAGTATTGATACTTTTCAGAGAAGAGAGCTTAGCCTAAATATTAGCTTTTAAAGCTAAATAATGACTAAAAGCACACAAATAAGATCCGACTAAACAAGGAAAAAGATATTTCTTGGAAAGCTGCCTTTTAGTGCTAAAGAAAAACATTTAACAGGACAGTTGTGAAATCTTTTTTGGCAAAGAGAATCTTGTGTTTTATCCACCTCATGCATGTTGGCAGGCTTCCTAAGCTAATCCAGTGCTGGGTGCTGGTACATAAAAGCTGTGCTTTGCAAGGGAGCTTGATGTTTTCCAGGCTGGGTTCTGTTCATGGATCACGTGATCAAAGATGAGGAAGAACCGCTTTAGTTCAACCGTAGCAGTTGTAGCCACTGTTATGTGTCGTCGACCACAATGTGGTACTCATCTGTACTTCTTCTTCCTTTGAGAGGCGGAGCCGTGTCGCATATCTGCTGAGAAATGAGCGTCATAACCTTTTGAAGAGGAAAAGGCTATAATTCAAAACAGGAAGAGGCTGCACTCCGTCTGCTCAACGTTTCCCCTGATGAGCAGCGTGGTGTGATAATGATACTTCTAAATCTGGATGGCATGGAGGGGGTGGGGGGTAAACTGGGCAGCCGTTCAAAAGTGGGTGGCATTCACCGCAAGCCACTCTGTTGGATCCACGTGTTTACTTGAAGTTCATAACCCCGTAGTCCTGTACGGGAAGCGGCTGCGGAGGCCCCAGGCCTTAAAATAAAGGGAGCTCAGGTGCAGGACGTTCCTGAATGTTTGGGTTTGTACAACGGCGGCTCTGATAACAGGCCAAGCTGGTGATAAGGTAGATGTTTTACATAACGTCTACGTGCAAACCTGATACATTTGTGTTTAGCTTATTCAGCGCTTTTATTATTCAGATCTCTGGAACTTTTTCCACACTTTTCAACCAACATCAATCAATACTTTTTAAAACTTTAGCGGGTTAGTCTATCAGCTTTGCTCATCAGAACACTTTGGATCCTTAAAACTGTTTCATAATAGCAACTCTGAACGTCGTTTAAATGATTCTTACTGGAAATGATGCCTTAACTTTGAATGAATCATTCCAACCCACGAAGAGCCTTCAATCTAAACGATTAAGTAAGTTAACTTATTTCTTAGAGCCGTTTTCCTGCTTTAGGCTAAAACTCTGCGTCAGTCGCTTACCACAATTTTATCTCATGTATTTACAAGAACATCCTTCCGTCTCCCAGCTATCCACTTAGCATGATACTACCACCACCGTGGTTCTTTGTAGGATTATGTACGGGTAGAAAAGTCAGTATCGGTGCAAAAAAGTGTTTTTCTTTATTGTTTTAGTTTAAAAAGCTTTTAGTGTTCATTTTTTTTTTTTTTGGTTCAGATTTGAATGCTCTGAAACAGGCTCACTTTATCTACAATGTTTATCACTAAATGAACCTGAAGATTAAGATGTGGTCAAACATGAAAAGTCACATGGAGACTCGTTGGTTAAGCAAAATAACTGTCATTAAAAATATAATTTTAAATTTTTTATCACAAGCAAATAGGAATAAAAACATATTTATTTGGTTATGCAGGTTAAACATCATCATCCGTTTTCACAAAACATCAGTAGATATGATAATTACATTTTTGTAAAGCTTCTTTAAAGCTTTAAAGGATTATTTTTGAGTCATATTAGGACACTTTAAGCAATATTAGAGATGCACCAATCCAGTTTTTTTCCAGTCCGACCCAATACATGAGCCGAGCACGTTAGCCGATACAGATCCGATTCAACCGTTTAATGAATCAACCATATATATTACCATGTGATTAAAGGCTTTAGCCGCTACATAAATATTGTTAAGAGGTATCAAATAAACACAGGTATAAATGTATTTAATATTGTTTATTAACAGATAAGCAGCCAAAAGAAAGGAAATAATAGTTCTATGTGAAGTGCACTGGATTGGATCTCTGACATCCAATCCCTGATATCTGATCCAGGTATCGGATAGGTGCATCTCTAAGCTGGGTTTAAAAGGATTTTAACAGTATAAAGGAAAAATTGTTTCACTAAAAAGTAAAGCAACTTGTACAAAAAAACTTTATTTTAAAATTCAACCACATTTCCTTTCCAACTATGTAGTCCCATATTATGTGGACTTGTTTTAGTATGGTGAAGGTTGGCGTCCTTTCAGCTGGATCATTGATTTAGCAGTGGGAATCTTTTTGGAGGTTCTGGTATTTTCACCTACAGTCATAGGCTGTAGAGGTGCAGCTAATTCTACAGTATAACACTTTAAAAAAACTTCACTTAAAGCCCATAGTGACAAAGAGGAAATTCTTTGCTATCGCTAAAACTACATAAAGATCTTGCTCTCAAAATGCTTTTCCTCTGCTCTGACAGACTTTAAAAGTATCCTTAATGTGTAGCGGAAGGAAAAGATCTAAAATCTAAAAAAGTTTATAATTTAGATGAAAATTTTCAGGTATAGTGGAGGATTTTCGCTAATTTTTGCAAAGACCGGCCCTCTACACTTTTTAAAGAAAAGCACATGCCCAACCCTGTACCCGAACGTCTGCCCTAACCTGTGAATCTCTCAATCACTATATAGGGTGGGGACTATATAATGAACTTTATAGTGAACTTAGTTAACTGAATGTTCGGACAGATGATCACTGCTTTCTGCTCTCCGTTGGTCGTGCTCTCCGCGCAAAGCATTACAGGATATATCTGCCTCTTCTGAGGGCTGTCTTTTCTTCTCATACACTTCATAGACACTTTTTCTCTTACGACCATCGGCCATTTTCAAAGAACCGCTGTGAGAAAGGTGAGCTGCAATGAATGTCTGAAACCGGAGCTCACCACAGATATACGCCTGAAAGTGCACATGCGCACAAAAAGATAGCTAACGGGATTAGCATGTAGGGCGGCCTTACGTAAACATATCACCAGAATGATCTATAATTAGGAGGATGATGATCCACTTGGAAATAAATGATCGTTCTCCATACCTTTAATGCACCACTTCCACTTTGACCCATTGTTATCATAATAAAGACTGGATCATGGAGTATTTGTTTCAAATATACCTCCCCTCATTGTGGTGCCCCCAGTGTTTAACTGAAAAGTTATGCCAGGTTTTAATAAGATCTTGCATAAAGCTATATTTATCTTATCTAATCTGTTGATCTGATAAAGAGAATATTTATGTTATGAATAGAGGGAGAGCTTTTCTGTTGTTGAGATTTAATCGTTTAAATTTTTTTTGACAAGATGCTTTTAGCAGCTCTGCAGCTGTTCTGTGATTATTTTCAGCATTTAAATGGCATGTTTTGTATCTCTTTGTTTCATTTTAGGATAATTTATTCTTTTCTTTGTTCTCTTGGTAAATGTTTCTCCCTTTTTAAATGGAAACTGGTCCTAAAGCAGCTTGTGGCCTTTCACACAGCTTTCTTTCACTCTACGGGATGTTCAGCTCAAACCAGCGCGATCTGGTCTAAGTCAGAGGACATTTAGATGCTGCCAGCAGGACAGTAAATTCTCCACCGGAGTTTTACGTTCACAGTGTTTTTTTTGGTCTCACCTGGAGGGTTGGAGGACAGAGGAGGCCTTTGTTGAAGTGTTCTGTTTCTGACCTGCAGGCACCTTTGCTGTGGTGAGTCTGATGATCGGGGGCGTTGCTGTGAGGGAAGCCCCAGAGAATTTGTTTCTTCTCCCCCACATCAATGGCTCCAACTCGTCTGTGGTCTATGATGAGGAGGCTCTCCAAGCTAGGAGAGTCCAGGTGGCCGTGGTGCTCACCACCATGGTGGGAATCATCCAGGTTAGTAACAGAGGGAGGGAGTAAGGGGCGAAGGTTTCTCACGCTCAAAAAATGTGTGTTTACCCAAAGCAGGAGGCTGAATCATCTGGATTTACATGTTTTCATTTCAAACAAAGCCTTTACTTTATTACACTAACTACTTCCTTTTTTTTCTTTTTCCTGTTCTCTTTCAGTTTGTATTCGGTCTTCTCAGGTTTGGCTTTGTGGCGATCTACCTCACAGAGCCTCTGGTGCGAGGCTTTACCACAGCAGCTGCCGTGCACGTCGTCATCTCCCAGCTGAAATACCTGCTGGGAGTGAAAACCAAGCGTTTTTCTGGGCCCCTCTCTGCTTTATATGTGAGTCTAAAAGGTTGGAGGAAAAAACTTAGTTCATATACCCTTTTTTTTTTACAAGCTGTGTTGTTGTTGCTGCTGTAGAGCGTTACCGCAGTCTTCAGTGAAATCGCCAACACGAATGTCCCCACGGTTCTCCTGGGCCTCGCTTGCATGGTGTTTCTGTACGGGATCAAAGTCCTCAATGAGCGCTTCAAGAAGAAGCTGCCTGTTCCAATCCCTGGAGAGATTATGGTGGTTATTGTGTCAACCGGGGTCTCTTATGGTTTATCCCTCGCACAAAAACACGGCGTGGGGATCGTTGGGGAGATACCGTCAGGGTAAGCTGTTGCTTATTGATCTATTTGAGGCCCAAATAGGAGATTGTAGATGAAGCTTTCATAACATCTGGACTCTAAAGTCGTTGCACTCTGAGACTTTGCTTGTGTTCCTAGGCTCCACGCTCCTGCCGTCCCGGATTTCTCTCTGCTTCCAAACTTGATCCCAGATGCGTTCGCTGTAGCCATCGTCGGCTTCTCAATGGGCATCTCACTAGCAAAGACCTTTGCCTTAAAGCATGGCTATAGTGTGGACGGCAACCAGGTGAGGAGTGGGGTTTCTTCTAATTGCATTGCATCTAATACTTTTCTTTTACTTTTTCCTCCATTACACCCAGAATTATACGTTTCATGTGTTTATTTAGGTCAGGCATCCCCAAACTCGGTCCTCGAGGGCCGCTGTTTTAGAGGTTTCCTTGCTCCAGCACAGCTGATTTTAATTGAAAGCTGATTAACAGGCTTTTGCTCTACTGCAATCATTATAATCAGCTGTTTTAAAGCAGGGAAACCTCTAAAACCTGCAGGACAGCGGCCCTCGAGGACCGAGTTTGGGCATGCCTGATTTAGGTAAATGGTTGACTATTATTTACAGCAAACAAAGGTAGCTTTTTAGAACAACCTTTTTCTTCCTTCCACCCAACTTTCTAATCTATTTAAGCTCCCTTATTTTCAGCAGTAACCTTTTATTCCTCATCTTGCTTGAGTAAATAAATATCTTTAGTTTAGGAATACTATGTCAGTCACCAGAAGCTGCTTTGACCTGATAAGACTGATATGTGTTTCTAGATCGATTGGTTTTTACGATCTGTATTTATAACCTCTGGTCCTAACGACTACCTCTTGATGTTTAACATCTGATTGCTGGACCCTCAGGAGCTGATCGCCCTCGGCGTCTGCAACTTCACAGGCTCCTTCTTCCACACCTTTGCCATCACCTGTTCCATGTCGAGGAGTTTAGTGCAGGAAAGCACAGGAGGAAAGACACAGGTGAGAAAAAAGCTCTCACACTCCGGAGCATCAGCACTCTGGATAAACTATATTGGTGCAATAAAGCCATTAGCAGTGCGACGGATAACGTTTACAAGCTTCCCTCTTGGTGTGTTTTCACTCAGATCGCAGGCTTGCTGTCGTCTCTCGTAGTGCTGCTGGTTGTGTTGGCCGTTGGTTTTGTCTTCCAGCCGCTCCCTCAAGTACGTATAGTCATTATAACATTATTTTATTTTTGTCTGTAGGAAATAACATTGATCAGATTCTTTTTTTTCTTCTTCTGTTTTTCAGACGGCACTTGCAGCTATTATCATAGTCAACTTGATTGGGATGTTCAAACAGTTCCGAGATATTCCCTCTTTGTGGAGGACCAGCAAGATCGAACTGGTCAGTTTTTCATTTGCATTGAAAAAATGGCGTCTGGCTGCAGAGCTGAGGACTGACCGTGTTTTCTTTTTTCTTTAACAATCGAATCATTTTGAGAGCAGAAACTAAAACCTTCATGTCAAACACAGCGGATGTCAGTCTTTCTCCTCTCAAATTACCCACAATTTGGTCAGTGTGTTTGTTACTATGACAACAATGCTCTACCCTTCCCTTTGTAAAGCTGTTTCTATCAAAATCAATATTTAATTCCCTCTTGTAAGCACAGATTGAAGAACATGGATCATAATAATGTCAATTATGGTTTTCCAACCCCTGTGCCTTCAGGTTGCTTGTAGATCTTGTAGACGGCAATAAACGCGATATAATCTCCTTGTTCCGAATCTATTATTGGTCAAAGTTATGTGACTTCTGTGATGCTCTCAGCTGTAAATAGCTCTGGATTTAAGATATAACAAATAAGTGTAAATATTGGGTGGAAAGCATTTTAAAACCTGAATTGTTAGTTTTGATGTGGTTTTGGGTAAAAGTTTCTCTTCATTTAAGAAATAAAATAAAAAAATCTGAATTTTATGTAAAAAGTACATTTATATGCATTTAATACAAAAAGTAACCATGTCATTTATTGATGTACTGATGAGCTGCAGTTAGTTATTCTAGGTATTTATATTCAGTCATTTAGAATTGGCTCAATTTTCTCAAATATAAATTACGTCTGGCTTTTTATTTTTAAATTAATTTGAATTTTAAATATTTTGGTGTGGCCAGTTTATGAATACACAATTATATGAATCAATGCTGATTTAAGACAGTAGTTTTTTATGGAATTGACTTGATAGAGACCCAGCAGATATAATTTTAAAGGAATGCAAGTCTTTTTCGTTTCCTACCCAACACTGTTATTGACCTGATATAATATTAGCTAAATATTTCATTGTGCGAAAGCTTGTGGTATTACTTAAAGGGGAAAAACAATAGGTATGAGAACAACTGGGACTGTGTTTACGCATCAGTCACTATCCATTATTATAATTATTATTATTATTATTATTATTATTATTATTATTATTATTTGCACCAATTTGAATGAGAAGAAAAAAAAGTGATGATGTCTAAATTATAACTCTTACCCTATTTAAACTTAACCTTAAATGTAATGTTGCTTTGCTGTAAGAGATTTTGAAGCTAAAGCCTTCATCTCCCAGAATGCTTTGGTGTTCTGGATCTGTGAAATTATAGATTATAGATCGATCCGTTGTCTATTGTAGCTTATATCATTGTTTTATTGCCCAGCGCTAAGAAAAACTGACATGTTTATTATTAAGTTTGAAACATAAGAATGTTCAACAATTTAATTAAATAAAAATCTATAAATCAGTTAAACTTATTGGCTAATATGAAACTGATTTACAATATTAAAATGGGGCACCTCGGCCTCAAACTATAAAATTTAGGGCAATAAATCTATGATTCCCACTTTTTGATTAAATTACTGAAACAAATAAACTTTTTGATTGTGTTTTGATTTAATAAAAAGATAGAAATAGTGTTCTTTAAGATCCCCTTGATCATTTCATAATGCAATGTTCTTTTTGTCCCTCCTAGGCCATTTGGCTAGTGTCCTTCATTGCATCTGTGCTGTTGGGTCTGGATTACGGCCTCCTGGCAGCCATCGCCTTCGCCATAATAACTGTCATCTACAGGACCCAGAGGTACAGCTCTCTGCTTCTGCTTTATTTCAATCCAATTATTTATTTCAATCCAATTATGGGATTTTAAACATGCATGCACATTATGTCATCGCGGCATTATCACGATGGGAAAAGAATATGGAAAGATTACTTTTTGATGTGAGCAGGATTGAGCCAGAAAAAGTCTTCCTTTAAATAGCTGAAAATATAGATGAAAGATTTGATTTGAGTTTAAAACTTGTGTCCTCATCAAGTATGTTCTTGACAAAAACATAGGAAAGTATGGACTCAGGGAGAACGGGAGCACGCAACGTAAATATGGGTCAATTGGAACAGAAGCGTTGTTGTGACGTCACCACACGTTTGACTCGTCTGGAGCTGCATTTCACCTCCTGTTATTAATAGTCTCTAGATAATAATACATTCTTAAATTTTTCATTTAGTGGCGGAATAATGATTGGCACAGAGCGTTCCACTGGAAGCTGCTGCTGCCGCGGTGCATGCTGGGACAGCTGTTAATCTTGAGAATGGACAAGTCTGCTCTGATGCATACTCTCATGTCCTCAGCTGATGACGTTTCATGAGTACACGAGAATGCACAAGTACACATCCTGAGAAACATCTTATATTTTCTTGGACTTGTCACGGTCTCGAAATTCATTTCCACTTACCTTCCGCCACGTTCCACCACAGAAAGCAGCTACAGTATCTGTTCCTCCGCTCTTATCTGCTTACAAACTAAGACGTTCTTCCAGGGATCTCTTGTTTACCTATTAGATGAAGTTATAATTACTTTTAGAGGCTGTGCCGTTTCTATATTCCTCTGACATCACTACCAGTACAGCTGTGGAAAGGTGGAGGTGAATAAGAGCAAATAAAACATAGATCCTGCTGTAGAACTTCAACTACTGAAGATTACAAAACTATTTATGTCCTTTAATGAATTATTAAATACTTTATTAAAGAAAGTTCTGACCATATTATTTTGACCTCCAATCTAAATGCATAAAAGTGTTGCTATAAATAGCAACAATGTTATGGAAAGTAAAAAAAAAACAACACAAATGTAGTTCTTTAGAAAATCTGAGTATTTCAATTTCGGGGGGAAAGTCTTTATAATTTGAAGAGCCTGCATCCACTGGGAATCTTTATCCTCATTCAGTAAATATATATTTTTTTATCACTGTTGATTTTTTATTACATATTTTTATTCGCCACAGTTCAGTCCTGCTTCAAGAACATCGCTCATAATGATTTAGATGTTTAAAATTACACACTTCAGCAATATGAACCACTGTTTACATGATTAAAAAACAAATTTATTATATTGTATGCATACTATCAGCAAAAGTTATTAAATGGGGAAAGTTCGATTAATTTAAGCTTAATTCAGTGTTCAATATCTCTTGGTTTTTTAGATCTTTCAGATGCATTTGAGAAGGACTTTTGATCATGTTTCATACATTGTCAGGTGCTGGTATTTAGGGTTTTTAGAAAGCAGATATTGTTGTTTTTTTAATGAAGATAAATGGCATTTCTCAATTGGATTAATTAATACTTTTTAGTTGTAGTATTTTAAATTATGACATGTATTGATGTTTATTAAATTTTAACTGTAGAGGAGTAAAATTTTCACTTTTTGGTGGCTTTCTAGCATCTGGCATTAGAAAGTTCTCAACACTGTTTTTATTAATGGTGGTTGCAGTATGGAAAATTAATGGAAAATCTCTTTGTGGTTTGTTTTTTTAAGCCTAAAGAGTATTAGGCTTGAAAAATTACTCTTTAAAAGTGTTTTTTTCTGTCTTCTAGCCCCAAAACATCCATCCTGGGTCACGTCACAAACACAGGACTGTATTACGATGTGGACGACTACGAAGAGGTGGGTTAAGTAGAGGAGGCGCTCCTTTCCGTCATCTATATGTTTGTCTTATTTCGGATTTTTTTTTTTTTTTTTCAGGCATCTGAATACGAGGGGATTAAGATTTTCCACTCCAACTCCCCCATCTACTTTGCTAACAGCGACCTTTATGTGAATAAAGTAAAAGAAAAGGTAATCCAGTCTGCTATATGCAAACAGGGGGGTTTGAGGCAGGTTTATCCATTTCTTCTGTCTCTGCAGACGGGAGTGAACCCAGAGGGGCTGCAGGCTGCACGGAAAGCTAGAAGAAAACAGAAGGAGAAGGAAAACAAGGAGCAAAACTCCCCTCTGAAGATTTGTGCAAAGGTGTGTTGGATCTTCTTTTCCTGGTCTGCTTTGTTTGCAGTGTAAACAGACTATAAAGCATGTTCCGGCTTCAAGCTGGGCTTTGTTTGAAGTTTCTCAGTGAAGAAAAACTATCTGAAGTTGACCTCTATCTGTTTGTGTGGCCTTGACGTTAAAAACTATAATATGGAAGCATTTGGATTAACATAAAGCTGATTATGTGAACTTTTTATGCCTTGACTGAAAGCCGTGATTGTCTTTAGTACAAGGATCAGACGGAGAATGTGACACATGAGGTCTCGCCTCAGAGCAACGAGGTGCAGGGAGTGAGAAACGGCGAGCTGGAGGACAAACATGGCGAATCGACTTCTGAGGAGACAGTCTTCCTCGAGCTTCTCAGCTCCGTCCATTCCATCATCCTGGACTGGACCAGTGCCAGCTTTATTGATTCTGTAGGAGCCAAAGCCATCAAACAGGTTCTTTTCCTTCTGCTTCTCTTTTAAAATAATATTTTCATTATTTCAGCTCCATGCCTTGCTGTGACACATCATTCTTTTAACACTGAACTGTGTCCATCTGCAGGTCATTAGGGAATATGCAGCAGTGGATGTTAGGGTGGTCATCGCTGGCTGCAACAGTAAGTAATAAGGATTTATCGAATTATCTGTATTTTCTTTTAACTCTTTGTGAACTTGAGTAAGAAAGTAAAAGTCTCTTGTCAAACTTTTTATTTTATAAATAAAATCTGAAGAGCGTGACCTGCTTTATCTACCAGCTTTGCACAGCTGAGCATGAACTTGAGCTCGTTCTTTGCTACTATATCAGTATGCTTACATTTATCCACTTGAACAATGTTCTTAACCCAAGCTTCTCTATACTGCACAATGTAGTTTAGCTGTTTTACAAGACAAATAGATGATTTTTAATATGTGGGGTTCTGCAGGGCCTTTTATTGGGACCAGTTTAATTGCAGTTATGTTTTAGGACAGGGGTCACAAACCGGTTCCAGAATCACCACACCAGAATCCATTCATCTCATCAAGTCATCATGTTCAGATTGGACTAACTTAATGAGATGACTAGAGTCTGGTGTGCTATTGCTTGGTTGGAAAGAAAACCTGCAGCCACACGGCCCTTTCTGGAACCGGTTTGAGGCCCCTGTTTTAGGATATTTAAATTGCAATGAGGTCCTTGCATAAACCCTGCAATGGTTAGGGATTCCACTCTGTAAATATACGGAGGATAAATCAACTCTTCAGCAGCAATAGCTTGAATTTCTGGTTCAGATTCAGGAATATTTTTCTAAGACACTGGACTGATCTTAAGGTAATGATTTTAATTAGGATATGTGATTTCCTAATGTAGTCCATGAAGAAGCCATAAGCCCCATTTACACTACCCTTATGAAACTGTGGCGAGAGCAAGGTAACCAAGATAACTGTTGAGTGTAAATGGCAGGCAAACTGAACCGGACTGTGCCAGACACAACTGAACTGCGCTAAGCTACTTCAACAGTAGGGCCCGACGCGGTTCAGTTGTGGCTCAGTTCTCTAATAACAAAGAGCACATGAGCAGACCGCGTCATCTCCAATCTACAGTCAGCTCCCAGTAGTTGGCGGTAATTCACATCAGTAAGTTGCTTGACAACCGCCACAAAGCAGATGAAGAACTTTAAATAATCGAAATTTTGTCATCACTACATTTTTTTAAAATGGTTTCAAAAGAGCGTGTTAAACGCTCCTCCAGGCGATGTTGGACGGAACAAAACATAATCACAAAGTTTTCATACTAGAGAGCAGTAGTACTGTTGATCCTTTCTAAGAGGCGAGGAATCGTGCTTGTTTAACGTGTAAACATAAAATATGGTAAGGAACCAAGCTCGGCTCGATTATAAGATCCAAGCTTGATCTGAACTCTGCAAAGATCGGTTTTCAGGGGGTAGTGTAAATGGGGCTAGTGTATACTAGCCATAATTTAATTGATTACATAAGTGGTCCCATATTAATTACATTGATTTTATCTGATGAAGTGTTTTATCTTACCTGGGTGTTTCTAACTAAACATGAATGTATTAGTAGTTTTGCTTATGGTTGTAACTGCTAACATGTAGAACTAATATTCTAGTTTTGGTATTTATTTACGCTTCCCTTTTGTTTCTTTAAGGAAGCGTACTGGAAGAGCTGGACGCGCTCCAGTTTTTCACAGGGGACTTTTCCACAGACATGGTGTTCCCCACTGTCCACGATGCAGTCCTGCACTGTCAGAACACTAGATCCAGAGCACACGCTGCTTCGACCGAAGCCTGAACCTGGAAGAGTCCAACAGGCTGTGAACTCATCAGTAAACAGTGGTTCATATTGAACGTTTAGTTTTTTTTATAGCACAGGTAGATGCTTTTTGTATTCTCTATAGCTTTGACCATCTCAGATCTGTGTAGTTCACTAAGCGTTATCCCTCTGTATCATCTTAGTGATCCACAGAAAAGGAGTACAAAAAGTTGCACTTTTATCAACTTTTGTAGTTCAGGGTTACTTCAGACTTGCTGCTGTGTTTTTCCAAAGAACCAAAAAAGACGTCTGATGGGGTTTGTCAAAGTGAGCATCTCATCGTCATGCTGATATATATCATCCAAGGTTACTGACTGCCATTGTATCGTTATTACCAGGTTTAATGTGTATTTAAGGTGGAGATGATCAAAACTGATCCCTTGTGTTTGTCTGTTACTGCATTTCAACATTTGTGGGAATATTTTATTGTAATGACTGTAAAAGAAATGAGACTTAAATCTGGAATAAACTTTATTTTTACTTGAAAACAAAAACACTACATGTTCGACTTTTGTATTCAGACGGCGAAACACCAAATCAGGAAACGCAAACATTTTGCTCAGTTGTAGGTCATGTATCTGGGGGTGGCACTGAACTTGGCGTAGGATTTGATGACCTTGTTCACAGCCTCCAGGAAGTCTTTCTCTGTGGCGATCTTCCTGCGAGCCCTGATGGCAAACATGCCTGCCTCTGTGCACACACTGCGGATCTCAGCACCTGATGAATAATAAAAGTATTTCACATTAATTTTATAGAATTTTGTAGCTGTTAGTTTTACAGGAAACGTCTGCATTTGGTCCAAACTGGGTTTCTATATAGAGATTAGACCGCCCTCTGCTGGCCACCGAGTGCCACTGCATTCCTCAGACATCATTGTCATCCAGGAAAGCTTACCCAATAAAAAGCTAATTAGATTAATCTAAGTAAAGTAAGAGGAAAAAAAAATGGCTTTTAGACACTGACTGCGGCGCCAGCCTTACCAGTGCTGTTGGGACAGAGGCGAGCCAAAAGCTCAAAGCGAATGTCTCTCTCCACACTCATAGAACGGGCATGGATCTTAAATATATGGGTGCGTCCCTGCAACACAAGAAATAAAAGATTAATAAAAGCAACGCTTCATGGTTGCTTTAATTCATAAAGTAAACTTTTGTCAGTCACCTCCAGGTCAGGCAGACTGAACTCTATCTTCCTGTCCAGACGTCCAGGTCTCATCAGAGCCGGGTCCAAAGTGTCTGGTCTGTTAGTGGCCATCAGAACTTTGATGTTGCCTCGAGGGTCGAAGCCATCTAATTGGTTGATGAGCTCCAGCATAGTCCTCTGAACCTCATTGTCTCCCCCAGCGCCGTCATCAAAACGAGCGCCTATTTAAAGGGGAAATAAAAAGAATTCAGCACCAGATTAATTTAAGCTTCAAAAGCAGTTTTCTGCACAGATCGGTTAAGAATGGTTTACCTCCAATGGCATCAATTTCATCAAAGAAGATCAGACAAGCTTTTTTGGTCCTGGCCATTTCAAACAGCTCTCGGACCATCCTGGCTCCCTGTAAAGCAAAGAAACAAAAAAAAAAAGAAGTTTGCGATTAAAAACATCAGCACGTATAGTTTTATCTCCAGCTTTTCCTTTGACCAATGAGCTTACCTCTCCGACATACTTCTGTACCAACTCCGATCCAATGACTCTGATGAAGCAGGCATCAGTGCGGTTGGCGACAGCACGAGCACAGAGGGTCTTTCCAGTACCAGGGGGTCCGAAGAGCAGCACACCTTTAGGGGGCTCAATTCCCAGGTTCACAAACCTTTCAGGCTGGTGAGATGAGGGGAAAGACAAATAGTAAACAAAACAAAAAAAAAAAGCCTGATCCAATTAGTTCCAAGAATATGAAAGTTTTTAATGTTAAAAAGAACTTATTTTTCATGGAAATCCAATGCCCCTTGAAAATGTGAGATAAGAAAAAACAAACATCTTAGGGTGGATATTGTAACGTTAAACTGTTTCTTCAGGTCTTCTGGCTTCTTGGGTTACAGTTTGCTTTTTAGCAACTTCATAATAAAAACGCATTTAAAATAAGCGTCAGGCTAAAGTGACCTACTTCATTATCGTTTCATCCTCTGGTATACTTATTTACAATGTTATATTTATTTGGGAAACTCATAAGCTTCGCCAAAACTGCTTTCTAACCATAAAATACATCAAAAAGTAACATTTTATCATTACCCACCCAAATCTGACACCAAGAAATCAAAAATGTGAGACTATTTGGTTTATTCAAGAAAAGGAGATAAACTTTAGTCAGTCTGAGCTTTTATTTCACTAACATAAACCTTTTTTCTGATATAAATCAGTTTTTATGGGGTCCTGCTACAGTATGGAGGTAGATCACATGACCCATACACCAGCTGTCGCAGGTTTGGGTGCTGACCTTTCCCGAATGTCTCTCCCCTCTCTTCTAACCCACTTTTCTGTCTCCATACTTTTGAAAATAACACAATAAAGGCCACTAGAGCTTAAAAATAATCTACAAACAAATACATTTTATTCTTTCCATGTTTCACTAAAAGGTCTATTTCTGAACATTAAGTGCCACACAGGTAAAACGTGTCTAAGACAGGGAGTAGGGGGTTTATTTCTGCAGTTATCAATACTTACGTGGAGCAACGGAGTTTCAACCACTTCTCTCAGCTTCTCAATCTGCTCTTTACATCCGCCCACATCACTGTAAGTCACATCAGGCTTCTCCTCCACCTGCAGTGCACCCACAGAATCATTAAACAACAAGATCTACTTTTACTGACCTTTATTTTCAAAAATATTAGTTTTAAACAATATTATTTGACCGTGTCCTAAACTTATACCTGCATCATAGTGACAGTGGGGTCGATTTTTGGAGGCAGAGGAATGTGGATCTGGTACTTGTTCCTGTCAACCCTGAAGATGCAGTCGGAATGTTAAATTCAGCAGGTTTGTTTTTTTTGGGGAGAAATAAGTCAGTTTTTCATTGTCTATGAATATTTTAAAGTATCCTGGCAGCCTCACCCAACTCTCATGCCCTCCTCAATGTCAGTTGGAGCCACCTGGTCACTCAGGTCCACCACAAACTTAGCAAACTGTTTCACATTGATGATATATTTGGGATCCTCTGAGTCGGCATTAATGATCTTTGTGCATCTATTTAAACAAAAAAACACAAATTTTAGCCACTTTATTCACATCAAGTCCCCTTTTTAAGAGATTACAACAAAACTGGACAGAGGTGTCAATTAACAAAGTACAAATACTTCGTTACCTTACCACTCTTTACATTTTTTAGCAATTATCTCTACTTTCTCATCCTTACATTTTAAAAATAGATTTGTTAGTTTTGTGTCATTTAAGCTCATTTTCATTATGGCCTGTTGCTATTAAAACAAAATAAAAAATTAAAACTATCAAAACCATTTGCTTCATCCAGACATGTTCTTTGCTGTTGGACTTAGTGCTGCCCCAACTTGTTGTTCATCACATACCACAATAAATAGTTTTTCATGATGCAAAGTAAAATTTGACTCTATTGCCATTAGTTATAAAACTAAAATTAAGTATAAGGGAATTATTATCCAGAATTGTAGAAGAATGTTAATCCTAATAGGATAGTGCAGTAGCCAGTATAAGGTTTAAAGCACCTGTTCTTCACATTTTTTTCTGAATTACTTTTATACTTTAAGTAGTTTTATAAATGGATAAATGGTACTTTTACATTTTTACTTGAGTAAAAAGCTAAAGTTGATTCTAGTTGAATAATAAACATTAAAACGTCTGACACTGGATGAGTATTAAATGACTTTCTTAATCAAATCTATGAGAGATTCAACTTAATATGTTACATTTTGTGCTTGCAAATCCAGTTTCTACATTTCCTGAATGTAATATTTATAAAAAAAAATAAAAAAAAACACTAAAGTAAGAATGTTAACCTGGAAAGCAAAAAGCTTCTCACCAATTATGACAGTAAAATCCAACATGGCTATTACACTTCGAATGAAATAAATAAGGAGTTCAATTCTGACATTTGTAATATCTAAACCGGTCGCACAGACTACTGCTCTACCTCTAAGGCAGTGGTTAGCAACCTTTAAATCCAAAGAGACATTTTATACTGAGCCCTGCTAAAGAGAAGTCATTTAGATCCAGACCTGTACATGACCTTTAAATAAAACACAACTTATTTATTATCACATTTGAGTTTTTGAGACCTCTACATCATTAGTGGGACATTTTTGCTTTGAGAGATCCTGATTCAGACCATCAAACAAGTATAGGGAACAGAAACTCTATAATAGATCGCATGGAAATGCATCACAAATGATACCAATAACCAATTTAAATATTCAAACGTGTTTTTGTTTATTTTTCAGTGTTTAGTGGACAATCAGTTTACAAGATTTACAGGGTTATAATAGGGAAAACACGAAGTTTCACTAAAAAGAAGCATAGATTTTCTTCTAGATATTTAATGAAAATAAAACATTTTAGAGCTGAAAAAAAATATATGGATCTAATGACATTTCTGGTTCTTAAATGTCATTCTGTTTGGAAATTTAAACGGTTCAATGTTAAATATTAAAGTATGATTACTTGCCTTGCAACCTGGAGTGGCTGTTCGCTCTGAAGAGTCTGTTTGTCAGCAGCCAGATCCCAGAGCGCTGGTGGAGCCAGGCCTGTGTCCGACTCCTTAATGCCTGTCAAATAAATAATGATTCAGCTTCTAACCTAAACCTCTTGCTAATAATAAATGCACTTTATAAATGAACATGTTCATGTCACTGTTGTAAGCTGCTCCTTCACTGCTGAAGAGCTGTATGCATCAACATTTAATTTAGTATACAGTCTGTGTATAAAAAAAATTACAATAAACTTTTCCCAAGTCTCTAAGAAACCAGCAGATGCTCTTTACGTAAGCACCGTCTGTGTAGATGTTTGACGATAATGGACTAGCAGCTGCCATTTCTTGTATATATAGATTTTTTTTGCCAGTGAAAGAAAGCAGGACAAAATACACTATACTACCAAAAGTATCCCCTCACCTGCCTTGAATCACATGAGCTTAATTGACATCTCATTCCTAACCCTTAGAGGAGAATGTTTATAGGAATTTTTGACCATTCTTCCAGAAACACATTTCTGAGGTCACACACTGATGTTGGATGTATGCCTAGCTCTCAAGTCTCTGCTCTAATTCACTTTTTTTTTCTATTGGGTTGAGTTCAAGACTCTGTGCAGTTTATTCAATTTCATCCACACCTGACTTGGTCATCCATGTCTTTATGGACCTTGCTTTGTGCTCTGCTGGTCAGTGCAGTTGGAAGAGGAAGCGGACAGCAAACTGTTCCCACAAAGTTGGGAGCAATTGTCCAAAATGTCTTGGAATGCTGAAGCATTTAGAAGTAAGGGGCTAAGCCCAGCTCCTGAAAAACAACCCCACACCATAATCCCCCCTCCACTATACTTTACACTTGGCCCAATGAACTCAGACAAGCACCACTCTCCTGGCAAACACAGACTTTATCAGATTTTCAGATGGGAAAATTGTGATTCATCCCTCCAGGAAACACTCTACTACTCTGGACTGCTGTGGTGGCATGCTTTACACTTTACCACTGTGATTCTGCAGTGATTCTCTCTGCAAGTTGGCGAACATGTCCCACTATGTCCTTCAGCATCTGCTGGCTCAACCCCAGTTAAATTGGCCTATGGCTTTGTTGCCGAGATGCTGTCCTGTCCAAACACGATACATTTTCTCACGATACAGCTCACATTTCCTTGGATTTGTTGCACAGGTAGCATCCCATCACAGCTCCACACTTGAATTCACCGAGCTCCGATCATTCACAAATGTTTCTAACAACAGTCTGCATGCCTGGGTATTTGATTTTATACACCTGTGGCCATTTGAGTGATTGGAACATCCGATTTCAATAATTTGGATGGGTGAGCAAATACTTTTGGCAATACCTTATAATCAAAATGATTCACAAGTGTAATTATTTTGTGTGTCTGCACAACTTTCTTTAGATTATTTAGTCTTTTTTGTATCCATAAAACTGATCAAACACCTAATACATCTTTATAGTATCATCAATAATAATAATCAGGTTTTTTTTAATACATTGAAAATATGATACAAGTATTAATATATGGTATGGTTATAACAGTGAAAGTTAGATCCGGTTGTGTGTGAATAATGTTTGCTTATGAAATTTCTATGCTTATGGGTATCTTTAAACACTGTGGTATATTATTGTGTTTTTATTATTATTATTATTTTTTAGAAATAACAACAGAATAAAATCGAGGGTCATTTCAATCAAAGCCATTCTGACAAGTTTAGCTTTATTCATTATATCCCCCATAGGAATCCAGAGTCATTGTTTACCTGTCAACTCGTTGATTTTTTTGAGAAGCTGCTGAATGTCATCCTCCACCTGTTTGATCTGTCTGGAGTAAGTACTTTGACCCTGTCGACCCACACACACAGTTAAAATCAAATGGGATCAACCCCAAATGTTCTCCAAACCTTAATAACACCAAAACGATCGATGTGTAAGATCGTTTGTTGATTGGTACTCACATATGTTTTGAGCAAAGCGATGTCGCCTTCATCCAGAGCTGAAGTTAAAAAGGAAAAAAAAAGGATGAGTTTGCAATAAGAACGAGGAAGCTGGTGTTGCTTATAACAGTAAACAAAAACATTTTAAAAGCTTCACTTTTAGATCGGACAAACATATTTAATGACTTAATAACAAGAAGAATAAGTGTCTTAGCTGAGGTTTGGGTATCCTGTCTTTTTTTCTATAAGCTAAGCTAATGTTGGCTAACCTAGCCAAGTTCGACGTTACCTGACTTGTTTTAAAAAAATGCAAATAAGCGTAAGTATTATAAACCTCGAATGGGTCCGTCATCCTTTTCCTCTTCCTTGGTCTTCCTCTGGTCCTCTCCCAGGTAATCCGGCATATTTAATAAAGTAAGAAAATGTTTGTGTCAGAGGAAAATTGGCTCGCTCCAGCAGCTAAACCTTACAATTACACAGCAGCTTTCGAGTTCCGCTGCCTACCGGAAGTACAGGTCGGAATTATATTGAGGATACTCTCAACCCGGATTATGAAAGCTATATCAAGGCATTAAATTGTCTACACAAATACATATTTAATTATACACCTTATACGTGAATTAGTTTTCTTATCGTTTATTAATATATTGAGTTGGGAAATAATAAATAATAAATATGCTTAAACAGCGGAACTAAAAACGCCAATTTATTTAGCAACCACGGAGGGGTTTGATCGGGAGACCTCGCAGTTTGTCCGCGGACTGCCTGGCAGCACCTGCACTTGGAGGCCCATGTGGAGCGGCATTGGCCGGGCTTGCGGACCTTAGCACCTTAACATTTCAGCGTTTCTTCTTGTGAATGTAGACTGCAGCCATTGTTCAACCATGCTGTTAGAGGCGACGGAGGGAGAGGAGACGGTTGTGTTTAAAGCGGCCGCCGGTAAGCAGCTACACGGACACAGGCCACATGAGAACAGCTAGCAAAGCTGAAGCCTTTACACTCAGAGTGCCGCTTGACTTGGGCGAAATTAATAATATTAGTTAATTTTGACATGTAGTTATGTGACCGGCTTTGATTGTGTTGCGTGTTGCATAATGTTTCCCACTTATTACGTTAGTTAGAGCTTTTTTCTAAACAGGGGCGGAGCTAGATGGGGGGGGCAGAGGTGGCCATGGCCCCCCCTTAGCCAATCATTGGCCACCCTTACCATTTTTTTCACCCTCTAATAGAGACAGTGACAGCAGTCATACTCTCAAGGGGAATGTTCAAACTTATTAAACGTTTACATTTTTCATATATTATCTAAAGCGACTAATTATTCACATTAAAAGAAAAGTTGATATATACAGAATTCATGCTTTTTTCAGAACTTTATTTTAGGTAAAGGAAAAAAATGTCTCTGTAGTCATCTTCAGTGAAATCATAGATAAATAACTACTTTAATAATAACTTAAAAAGCAATTAAATGTAGATATTAGTACATGTAAATATTCATTTTATGCAGAAAAAGTTTTGATGAAAGTAGGTAAGTAATGACAAAGGAAAAGATGTTTGCCACAGAAATTTTGTTCACTATATCTTTAATTTAGACTGCTTGGATGTTTAAATATGTGCGTCTATTTGTTAGCACAGGCTGTAGGAAAGTATGGTTTGTCTTTATTTAGAAAATATTGATGATGACAAATATCAAGCTATTTCAGGTAATGGTCAAACTTTTAGAGTTAAAAAAAAATAAAAAAAAACCTTTGTGCCAGGTAATCCTTTTTCTGCAATCTTGTATCTTAACAATTAGATTGCATTGGAGGGCACAAGATCACACAATCCAGGACTAGTAATATATCCATTTGTTTCTATGATTAAAACTTGGAAAACAAGTTGGCAGATTTCAGTTATGATTGAAGTGTATTTTCTTAGTTTTGGATTATAGCCTTTGAGAACATGCATAAAAATGACCCACTAACTGTATTTCATGCCACTGAACAAATAGCATACAATGACGTTCATTCAAGCCAGTTATGTCAGTCAATTTTACTGCTTCTCTTTGGATTTAAAATTGGAAAAACCTATAAACTGCCGCTCACCACTTCTGTGAAAAATCCCCAGCTTCTGTCCAGGTTCTGGTGGAGCCAGTGGGTCGATGGTTTGAAGCCTACATCAGGAGGAGAAACAGAAATGTGTCAGCCTCCTTTCAAGAGCTGGAGGATGAAGAGGAGTCCTCGGAGGAGTCGGAGGATGAGGAGTTACAGCTGGAGGAACACCCAATGCTCCGAACACTAGATCCTAAAGACTGGAAGGTACATGAAAGAAAGTAGAAGGCAACAGCAGCATTGTAATAATCTGGCATAACCCAGATTCATAGCATGTAGAATTCAAATTGAACTAAAGGCTCCTATAGAAAGTGCTCACAAACGGAGAGACATCAGTATAATTCTTTGAGCTGATTGGGTACCTGGAAACCAAGCAGCAGCTTGGTTTGTTTCATAACTAGTGGAGATAACTTATAGATCAAACTCTTACCAAATCCGCACAACCATCTTCCCATCTACAAAAGGCAAAAATAGTATCCTTTTGCTCACTTTCCTAAAAAGAAATGGTGGGTATTCCAGCTAAAACCAGCACAGCCATGTTTGTTTTGCTTCGGCTTTTTGCCCCTGGTTGACACATAGACGTTGTACACATCCGTATCTGTATTGAGGCTAATGCTGGCTGTATTTTGGGGAGTTTGTGAATTCATCTTGCTTGCAAGGTAAACATCCTAAGATTTGAAGAAGTACGTTATTCTGTTTAACTTTCAACACCCTATTTGATTATAAATTGTCTTTTGTAACAAAATTCAAAGCAGGAACATTTAAAAAAACAAAAACTAGAGGTTTAAAGTCCTGAAAGGAGTTTTTTACATTTCATTTAGTATTAGGTTTGCAGAAACACCTAGATTATACTCATCCACTATAGAGTTAACAGCTTCTTTAATGTAAGGCTGGTAAATCAATTTCATTCAATTCAGAGTTTTACTTAATTTTTACCTATCTAAAAACTAATCATTATTTAGGGTTTAATTATTTTTTTCTTTTAAGGAGCTAACCAATATCAGGTATTCCTGTTCTTATCCATGATGATATCATTGGTGCATCTCTAAATGTTGCCTAAAAACTGTCCAAACTATTAATCTAATAAAATTAGGAAAATTTGCGGAAAGATAATCCCATCATCAGCATATATAGAAGTGTAATGTTTAAATTGCCCTTTTTATCTACCCAAGAGGCTTGTATATATTTAAAATGCTACAGTAACAGGGTCTATGTCTTATATAAACCCCATTTATCTTATTTACCAGAATCAAGATCACTACGCTGTCCTCGGTCTCCCACATTTGAGGTATAAAGCCACACAGAAACAAATCAAAGCAGCTCGTAAGTACTCCTCCCTTAATCTGATTTAATTTCTCTGGATAGATGTGACTGTGATATTACCTTTGCTGTTTTTCTACAGACAAAGCAATTGTGTTGAAGCACCATCCAGATAAAAGGAAAGCGGCAGGAGAGCAGATTGTCGAAGGAGATAATGACTACTTTACTTGTATAACTAAAGGTACCTATCTCTATCAGATTTCAGAATAAAACGAACAGACCGCTGATGTAATAACCGATAACTCACTGTTTGTTGTTTGCACCTTAGCCATTGAAATCCTATCAGACCCAGTGAAGAGAAGAGCCTTCGACAGCGTCGATCCGACCTTTGACAATAGCGTGCCTTCCAAAAGCGAAGGCAAAGAAAACTTTTTCGAGGTGTTTGCTCCTGTTTTTGAGAGAAATGCTAGATGGTCTTCAAAGAAGCACGGACCCTCCCTAGGAACCATGGACTCAACTTTTGAAGAAGTGGACAATTTTTACTCTTTTTGGTAGGTGGACAGGATTTGGTCATTTTTGAGGCTGGAAAGTGGTCACTGATCCGTAGATGGTGTAAATAAAAAAAATCAAATTTCTATTAAGGTACAACTTTGACTCATGGAGGGAATTTTCCTACTTGGATGAGGAGGAAAAGGAGAAGGCTGAATGGTAAGCAAAAACCATCGATCTTCAAATAGAAAAATAGGTAAACTATTGAATTGAACATGAGACTTTTTCCCTCAGCCGAGATGAGAGGAGATGGATTGAGAAGCAGAACCGAGCTTCCAGAGCTCAGAGGAAAAAGGAGGAGATGAACAGGATACGCACTCTAGTTGGTACAGCCTCTACAGCGCCTCACAGACTGCACAGTAAAGCTTGATTTTTAAAGTATGCACAGGGATGATGATGATGATGCTTGTTTTGCTGCAGATACGGCCTACAGTTGTGACCCTAGAATAAAGAAATTCAAAGAGGAGGAAAAAGCCAGGAAAGAAGCTGAGAAGAAAGCGAAAGCTGAAGCCAAGAGGAAAGAGCAGGAAGAGAAGGAGAGAGTAAGTCAAAAAAATTTACTGTGGACTGAAAACTTTGATTTGGAAGGTATTCATTGAAAACTTTTCTTGTTTAATGGTATAGTTTGTGTCAGAACAGCCCCATATTGGAGAGGAAAAACAATTAATGCAAAAGGTTTATGCCAGAAATGAGCTCAAATAGAAGCATTATTGGCAGCATTCATAAGGTGTTCAAGCTCCAATAAAGGAAATTTAAATAAAGAAATTAAGAAATTTGAAGCTGGAAATGTAAAGAGCTTTTATAAAATATTTCAGAACCTATAGGAGGCAGATGTAACACGTTGGTGCCTTAAAAAGGGTTCATTGCCCGCTATCCTGGGGCTAAAGAGAAAAGGGGCTCTTGAATATTTTTAAGTATTGAGGTTATTTTGTAAAAAGCACCACTGACTCCATCTTAAGACAATGAGAAAACGATTCCAAATGGATGCCCAGATATAATTAACGCTGTGATGAAAGCTCTAATTATTAAGTTATAATGCCTTACCTCTTTAGGTTTGGTTGTATTTCTCCAGGCCAAGCAGGCAGAGCTTGAGGTAGCACGTATAGCAAAGGAGAAGGAGGAAGAGGAGGCCAGACAGGCTGCCTTACAGGCGAAGAAGGAGAAGGAGATCCAGAAGAAAGCCATGAAGAAGGAGAGGCAGAGACTCAGGACCACCTGCAAGGTTAGGAGCCCGCTAACGAGCGTGATGGGTCTTTGGCTCGGTGTTCGGCACATCATCCATTTTCAGATTTAAAATTTTTGGGTATTTAGACAATGTTTTCTCCTCCTGTAGAACTGGAATTACTTTGCTGACAATGAAGCTGATAGTGTGAAGATGATGGAGGAAGTGGAGAAACTTTGCGATCGTCTAGAACTGACAAGGTTTGCTGGATTATCAGATTATTTCTGTTTGTATGTCCTCGTATAACCGGACTTATTAGAACGCTTTGATTTGGTTTGTGACATAAATGGTCAGTGAGCTGCTCCATTTATTCGGTTTAAAATTGAGTTGATATCCAGAGACAGAATGTGGATAAAGTGTTTTTTTTATTTTTTTTTATTTAGTCTGCAGTCTTTAAATGAGATCCTGGCCTCGGCGTCAAAAGAGGACAGCAAGGCAGCAGTGGAGAAGCAGGTAAAAACATTTTGGGCTTCCAGTGATGTCTGCAGGGTTTTATTGATTCCACATAATTTATTGAAGTGCCACTTTTTTTAGGTAGAAGAAGTGAACGCCCAGCTGCAGAAGGAGAGGGAGGCTGAGGTTCAGGCCCGGCAGGCGGCCCGGAGCGCCGAGCAGGCCAGCGGAGGGGGCGGCGGAGGAAAAGGCTGGAATGAGGAGGACCTCCAGCTGCTCATCAAAGCGGTCAACCTGTTCCCTGCTGGAACCAACTCCAGGTAGAACAGAGCAGCCCTTAAAACGATTTGATCAACTGTTACCATAGTGACACGATAGAAAAGAGTGAAATTTTTTACTTTATTATAATAAAAATAGTAAACATCGTCTCATCATTCTTTTATATCCTTAGGATTTTAGTTTTATGTCTTTTTTATACTGCATGAAATTAATTTACAATAGAACATGTGGTTTTAATGTTACATAATCTGAATAGTTTTATAAGGTCTGTGTGTCAGCTTATTAACATCTATTTTGTTGTTTTGTTATGCTATATTTTTTTCTTCCAGGTGGGAAGTCATTGCTAACTACATGAACTTACACTCCAGTAGTGGGATGAAGAGGACAGCCAAAGACGTAATCAACAAAGCAAAGAATCTTCAAAAACTTGGTGAGAATCTGCATGAAACTAAGGAAAATAAAGACGGAAATAATTTCAGAAATTTGAAATGAGATGTAGATTAAAAAAAGAGCCATGGGTGTTTTTTGATAGCATTAAAATTATTTCTAAGAGCATTAAAAAGCATTAAATTAGTTACTCATTCCCGTATAAACCTTGCTACTGTAAATTAAGTTAACGGCTTAAAAAAAAAAAAAAGCTAAGGGAAAAGTCAAAATGTAAAGTGAAAAAGTTAATAAACTATGTTAAAAAGGTAGAAAATGTAAGTGACTGTTTCAACATTAATACCCAAGGTATTCTTCTTGAATTTCTTCTTTTTTCTTAATATATTAGGGTGAGTGGCAGTTTCTTGTTATTGCATTGACCTTAATTTTTACCATGAAATATATACACATTTCTTGAATGTTACAAAAGTAATGAGGTCCTGTCCTCTAATAACACTCTTGGCTTGAAATTTTGACTTTCAGAGGATATCAATCAGTGCCCTATAATGGGTTAATACGGTTCTGTGTCGTCCATGTCAAATTCTCTAAGTTTGGACAAATGAGAACAAAAACATTTCCAGACTTCAGTTTTTTTATCCTAAAAGATAAAGAAAAGACTTTTTATACCTAAAAGTTGATCTTAATCTCAATGACGGGCTGCTTATAAATGTACATTTATCCTAAAACAAATTTCACAGCTTTATAGGCTTTTGGATCCTCTTTCTGTTTTTTAAAGACAAGAACTGAAGTTAGATGTAGATGCTAAAGAATCATTGATCCCAAACCGTAAAGAAGGATACTTTTGAAGACAATTTCATGGTCTAGTCCAGTGATTAACTACCAGGGGGCCTGGTACCCCTAGTGGTCTGAGAGTGCATTGCAGTAAAATAAAATAACATTGTAGTCAAATAAAATCTGTTTTGCTTTTTGAGGACCCACATGAAAAATAAAGCAAGCTTTTATTAACCAAGAAGTAGGTTTTTCTAATATGTTTGAGTTCACCTTCAGTTTCGATACACTCAAACCAAGCAGAGGAACAGACTGGAGGTTGAGAACAGCCTGATATCTGCTGTTTTTCACACTTAGCTATCAGAACGGATCAAACTTTTATTCCTTATTCATCTTGTTAAAATCTATTTATAAAGGAGTTGCTCAGAGGAACTCCAGTTTTATAAGTGGAAGTTTATAATATGATTTTCATTTTGTATTTATTTCGATTCCTTACCAACTTCCAGGAAACATATTTGTTTCTTTTTTATTTGAGATGGAAAGCATAAAATTCCTAGAATTAAATGCTCAAATTTAAAGATTAAGTAAAATAGTTTTTATTTTATAATCGGTTATTGTAGGTTCCATTTTTGGACAGTCATCAATACTTTTGACTGAGGGGATAGTCATTGTTAGATATAATGACTAAAGGGGTACAAAAGTCAAAGGGTTTGGAAACACTGGTCTTCTCCATATTCTAGTATTGTAGAATGTCTTTTTTCATTATTGTTTAAGTCTGTTCTGGTGCCATTATATTGTGAAATCAAAAAAATAACTTAAACATTGCTACGTTAAAAAAGGATAAAAGATGAATATTCTGCATCTACTGTAATAATGAAATATGTAGAAAAAGTATCTCTAAGGTTTGGAATTGCCTGACAGGAGATCAAATGGTAGAATATCTGCTGTAAAGTTGATTTATAATTGAGTTTACCTCCATGTTTTTAGATCCACTGCAGAAAGATGAGATCAACAAGAAGGCCTATGAGAAGTTCAAGAAGGAGCACACGTCTGTGCCGCCCTCCATAGACAACGCCCTGCCCTCAGAGAGATTTGAAGGTAAGTAGATTTCTAAACGTCTTTAGAAAAAAAATACTTTTTTGGTATGCAATACATTTGTACACACGCTATAAAAAGGTAGGTGTTAAGGAGTTCAAGGATACATTTTCACTCATTTTATATAATATTCAAGCTGAACATGGAAGCAACATGATCTGGATGAATATATGTATAATTTTCTCTGCAATGACAGAAAAAAAAAAACACCCTTCAGTCGCCGTAACATTGTAAAAATATTGCACATCCACGTACTTTAAGTTGGATTTCTGAAGAGGGTTTTGGACTATCGGGGGGAGACCTCATCACTGTTTTATCTGTGGTTGGTCTGTACTCTGAAGACTGGAATTTAACGAACCACTTAATTAAAGTCAGCAAGATTCTGTGAATGTGATATTTCCTGATTCATTCAGGTTTTGTAAAAGAGAAATCTAGTTTAAAACTGCAAGTTAGTATGCAGCATTGCTGACAAGCGGTCAGGGCGTGCCTTACAATCTGTGAAAATCTTTTAAAAGGCGTTTTTTCTTTAACTTAACCCTCACTTTATCCTGTTTACAATTTATTGTTCTGATTCTCTTTAATTAATTTAAAACGTATTTTTTAAAAGAAGAAAATAAATCCACATTAAGTGTTTAAGTTGATTGGTAACCGTGGGATATGAACGAGCAAATGGACCAGAAGAGAAAGCGCCCCCTGGTGGGCTATCTGCACCTGTGAAAAACTATGTTTTCATTGGAAACTGTGAAAAAATGCTTTAGATTGAATTTACTGGTGAGGTTCTAAAGGAAAAAGATATAGAAGTCCACCTACATTTTTATTTGCTCACAAGTTTAGTACTTCATCTTGGTTTTTAATAGCGATTAGGCTGAAACATATTTGTTTTGTCATCAGGAACTAACATTTGGCTAAATTATGAATACATCTGACTACTTTTTTTTTCTAAACACCTTTTGGCCCCTATATAATTGAGCCTTGAGCTTGTAATAAAAACAAACTGTAAATCAAATGTAAAAGTTCAAGCATTTATTTTGAAATAGACGCTTTAGTGTAAAATAAAAACTTTGTTCCGAGCCGTGAAATAAATGTTTCTTTAACAGAGATCCAATGACAGCATCCCTGCAGGACTGATAACTGGTCCTGATTTGTCAGTCTATAAACGGGTTAATCTAAAAACATAAAATCTTTTATTGCTGCAGAGTAAGAAACAAGACTCCCACCTGGATTTCAGTTTTGATTTGCAGAACATAATGGTAGAAATTATGTGCTATTCAACCTTACTAACTAGTTGCTTTGTGAACCTTCAGCCTCTGGAAGCGATGGGAATGCTGCTCCCTGGACCACGGAGGAACAGAAACTTCTAGAACAAGCCCTGAAGACCTACCCTGTCAGCACACCTGAGCGGTGGGAGAAAATCGCTGCTGCCGTTCCTGGGCGGAGCAAGAAGGACTGTATGAAAAGATACAAGGTATCTATATCGTTCATTTGGACCTGACATCAAGAATTAAAGCGTGATAATGTTTAATGTTATATTTCTTATCGACAGGAACTGGTGGAGATGGTCAAAGCCAAGAAAGCTGCTCAGGAACAAGTGGCAGCCAAGAATAAAAAATGACACCAACCATAAATAATGATAGAATCTGTGTTATTTTATGTTATTGTGTTATTCACTATTTTATAATAAAAAAAAAAAACTAGAGCCAAAACGTAAATATGTTTCTGTGCAGTCCATGTTTCCTCAGCTTCTCATCCAGAACATCCCACTGCGGATCTGGTTGTAGTCTGGCAGCTGTTCTATAGGACCTACAGCAAAAACAGAAAAATGTCTGTATTATTTTAGCTCAATTAGATACATCTAATTCTTAACAATTCAGCACATTTAAGGATAGCAGGTCTAAAATGGAGTTAATATAATCTTACACATGAAGCATGTTTTGTAGATGCAGATATGGATGAAAAAGATCAACATACCAACAGCTGCTATAGCAGGAGCCCTGTTGTAGATGTATTTGGTGCAGACCTCCTTTATGGTGTTGGCATCAATGGCCTGCGATGAAGAACCAGACAGTTAGAGATTTGCGCTTTAATAAGCTCTCGCAGCAAAGTAACCCCCTGATTCCACATCCTCCGCTCCACTCCACCCACGTAAGCCGTGCAGAGAAAAGAATGTTTGGGCAGAAACGTTTGATACCTGAGTGAAGTTTGCCCCCCCACCTTCTTCAAATCAGATAAAAATGGTGTCAAATGTTTGTGCAGATATTTTAAAGATATAAAGAAATGTTTCTAGAGGTCATCAAAGGTCAACCTGCCCACCCACCTTTAAATCAAATGAAATGGGTGTCAATTAACTCGACTCTGGTTTGTGCTGCTTTGGCCTTGAACATTTTATGAAATCAGACAAAATTGGTGTCAATCACTTCATCTATGTTTGTGCAGCAAAAAAGTTCATTTGTGCTCCAATCATTCTAAAGATATAAAGAAAAATGTTCACGCGGGGCTTCAGAGGTCAACCACTATCTTTAAAAGGATAGCGGCACAAACGAAAATTTTTGCTGCACAAACATTCCATAAAAATTCAAAAAGTATCCACTGGTCTTGGTTTTCAAGATTTGAAGACTACTCTTCAAATCTTGAAAACCAAGTCCAGTGGATACTTTTTGAATTTTTACGGAATGAATATGACCTGGATGACTGAGAACCTTCATCAGCATATTGCTGCACAAACGTTTGACACCCTTTTTTTTTCTGATTTGAAGAAGGTGGGGGGCCAACTTCACGCAGGAACGTGTGATTCATCCTGATGGCGAGTTTTAATCGTCATATGAAATTAAATGCTGATTACAGCATGTTTTTCTCCTATGAATTAAATAATATAGCACATGCTCTCCTTGAGCTTCAAGGAAGTCGGGGCGGAGCGAGACGGGAGGAGCTGCGGAGGCTTTTCTTTGTGCAGGCCGTCTGGAGAGGGGCGGTGACGGAGGATGTGGAATTTCAGCAATAGAAATATCTGGTTGCCAAGGAAACTCTTATAACACGGTTAAAAAGGCTGAAGTTTCCATGAAGGAGTTTGTTTTTGGCTCTACCACATAGGATTAACTAGCAGCCTGAAGCCACGCCCACTAAGCTCTAGAGTCCGACTCACGTCGATCCGGGCCTCCAGCTCGTGCAGAGGAATCCTGCGGCTATAGCACAGCATCTGTCTGCCGATGTCTTCACAGATAGGGGTGGACCCTGTGGAGAACCAATCTTGTTAACTAAAGCCACCACCTGATCTAATGTCCTCTGTCATGGTGACCTACCGTCCAGGTGTAGCAGCATGTTTGTCTTTAGCAGGTTCTTGGCCCGAGCGACCTCGCTTTCCGTCACACTGGTACAAAGAGACATCCTGTGGAGGAGCAACGATCGACATTAGGGTTTCTGAGATACTCTTCCAGTCCATCTTTGCATTCATGCTCACCATTCCATCTGAGTGAAGTGCATCATGTCGCCGATGGTGCCTGGCTCACACACCATGTAAAGCCCCCACAGGCCTGTGTCTGTGTAGCAGGTGTTGAAGGACTGGAAGCTGTGGCACAGGTTTCCCTGACAGGCCATCTGGGCCAGTTTACTGGATAGATTCTGAAGACACGACCCGACTTTAATCAGCCGACAAGATTCATGGACATAAAAGCCGCAAAGACACAAACACTGACCACGCCTCCACTAAACGAGCGATCCCAGTTTCCAATCAGGGTGTTGGCCACCATCAGAGGGAGGGTGTCTGGGTGAGACCATCCAACTGCTTCCACGGCGATGGCGATGTGAGCGAGAGGCATTTTATCATCGCGCACTCGGATCTGGAACAGAAGCAGAGTTTTTTTAAGTTTCCAGAGTTTATATTTTCTATTAACCTAAAAACTAAACTTTGAACTGCAGGAGAAAAAAAAACGCTTTTAATGCTGATTTTTATTTGAACTTCTTTAATTTTATGTCCCCAAATTAAATCTTTTTAATCCAAGGGTTTAAACTGGAGGATAGATTATTAAACTGAGGTTGGATAAAATGCCACAAAAAAACATTTTAATCTTTTTTTATTTAATTAATGATCACGCCCTGGAATTTACTTTATAAAAAACAGGCAATTTAACCCAATGCTTAACTGAAAGTGTCTCATCTAATCTAAATGAGATAATTCATTAAAAAATGAAGGGAAACAGTTTTACACTATGTCAATAGAAATTTTAATTGAAAACATATAAGAAACCCAGTTTTATGCTGTTTGGCTTATTGTGCAACACATCACAAACCCTCCCCCACTTGTTGCTGCACATTGTAATTCAAAGACTGAAAGAAAACATCTCCCTTGATAGAAGAGAAGCAAAATGTTAAAACTTTAGATTATTGATCATGTTACAGGATCCAGTTCTGGTTCAGATTAGATTTTTCTTTTCTTTTTTTCTGAAGCAAACTAACACTTCCCATGGATTCTACAACAAGCGGTCTGAACCTGCTGTTGGTCCAGTGGTTATATTTTATGGTTTTAGAGAATTTATCTGCAAACTTTTTACAAGTGAGTTGTTTTGACTACCTTTGTTTTTATTTTTTCTGATATCTGTGATAGGAGGATTTTAAACAACAGAGCAAAAATGTTCATTTCAAATGTCATCAATGTATTTTCAACTCTTTTACAGCTCAGCTCACCAATTTAAGTTATTTTTTTAGCTTTATTTTTAGTTTAAGAAATATTTGAAACTCCAGATATATCATCTTTCTGTCACAACAACATTTTTTCAACAAGTAGGGAAAAAAAAAAAGAAAGAAGCCAGTGTCCTACCTCACTTCCTGTAAAGTGACATGGAGGAAGAGCTGGGGCTCCACCTTGATCCCGGCTGGGAAGTTTTCCAAAGTGATATTTGGCCAAACTAATGAGCTCCTGGTGGCAAACACCTGATCAGGAGGGAGACGGACATAAGGGTTTATTATTGATCCAATATCGGTGGAGAATAATGATATCTGTACATGTCAGCGTGATTTTGATCCTGTATGAATAAGTGCCATGAGAAATCAGACCTCCAGCCGCAGCCAGCACTATCCTAGGTCCTTTGTAGTGGGTGGTGATGTACTCCACCAGGTCTCCTCTGTTGATCGTCCTGGAAAACAAACCAGTCGAAGGTTAAACACAGACCGAGGCGGTCCTGTCCTGTCCTGATCTGGTCTGGTCTTACTTGATGTTCTCAGTCGGACCCAGGATGGTCCTGCCCAGCGCTGTGGACTGGTACGCCGTGGCATGCAGGTAATCAAACACCACTTCCTGCAGGTTGGTCTCCACTTCCTGCATCTCCCTCAGGATCACACCGCGCTCCCTCTCGATCTCTGCTTCACCGAGCGTGCTGTTCTGGATGATGTCAGCCAGGATCTCAACAGCTAGATTGCAAAAAAAAAAAAAAAAGAAAGAAATTTTTATAAGGAAAACAAATTCTACACACATCAATCAAACCAGCTTCTACTGCTCTGCACCTCGTGGAAGATCCTTGGAGAAAGCTTTGGCGTAGTACACCGTCTGCTCCCGGGATGTGTAGGCGTTCAGATGGGCGCCCATGTTCTCGATCTCCAGCTCCAGGTCCAACTGAGAGCGTTTCCTTGTACCCTGTGAGACGGTTCTGCATATTAATCAGCTCACCTCTTTTCCAGGAAGTAAAGGATGACTAAATTTACCCTCCCACCTTAAATGCCATGTGTTCCAGAAAGTGTGCTGTGCCGTTATTCCTCTCATTCTCATAGCGACTGCCAGCATCTATCCATAAGCCCACCTAGATGAAGACATCCATAAATGTCCTTCACACATTGTAACATCGAGTTAAACAGATTCTAGTAAAACTTGTTAAGTTAGAAAGTTTGAATTTAAGCAGGGAACCTTTAACTTACAGTGCAGGTTGTAAGACCAGAATCCTCTGAAGCCACCCGGAGACCATTCTCTAACGTGGTCACTTTAGTTTCAGGGACATTTAGCGCCACCTGCTGAGCAGCGGGGGTAGCCAACAGTCGCTGCGGTCCAACGGGAAGCTGCAGAGGACAAAAGTGAGAGGTCAACTCAAGCATTAAATATACAATTTGTCTACAATGATTGCTTTTACAACCATGAAGTTTATATAGATAATTACTTTTATTTATTTTTTTGCTAGCTGTAGGAAATAATTTGATACTCATTCCTGCATTTTTTTTAAATAAATGTCTAAATGATTATTTATAAGGGGAATATAACTTAAACACTTCTTATTTTTTGGAGGTCATTTACTTTATTCACTACTTTTGATGTTAAACAACTTCCCTTCATCTTTAGATCTAACGAGATTTCATTTCCCTGTTTATGAAAAGCATCCCCACAGCATAATGTTGCCACCTCTGTGCTTTACCGTAGGGATGATGCAAAGTGTTTTTTTTTTTTGTCACAGAGAGCAGATTCAGCATGTAAGCCAAAATGTTGGCCTGATTCAACAATAAACAGGTTCAAACTATTTAAAGAGGCACTATTATATATAATATTATATGTAATATGCAATTACAACAATGTCATCAATATATGTATATTACAAGTACATCAGTTTGGCACATCTGTATTATTGTGCTCCATGAATACATTCGTTTTGTTGTGATGGATTTGTATAACATAATGTTATATTACATGATTTATAGACTTCATAATGACCATGCAATATGATGTGCCTTTTTTTTATTATCATAAATTACATTAATCTACCATTGCCATTGTGACGGGTTTAAATATGGAGTACCAATATGGCGGCCGGTGGCTATCAGTAAACCAGTGAATAAATAGAGATCAGTGATTAGTGCTTGGTGCCCCATGATTTCTGACTATGGCCTCCAAATAGCTAAGCCCCGCCCCTCTAAAAGTCAAGTCATGATGACTGATGCTGAATATAAACAACTAACTTCTACTATTAATAATCGCTAAATTGTAATGATCCACTACCTACTACTTTTACCAAAGAGAGGAGTTATGATATACAGATAGATATATATAACAGAGAGGAGCGCGTCGTTTCCAAATTAATAAACATGGATCCTGTGAAGCCTCGCAGGGAGGTTTTCCTCGGTCATTATTCGCATCACTGATTATTAAGAAAAAAAGGATCAAAGCTACGGCTTTGAGGGGGAAAAAAAGGATATTAAAAGATTCCCCTTACCCCGTTTAGGTAGCCTGGCTTCACTAAATGTCTTTGGAGAAGACATCTCCCAGCTGACGTGAGGCGCTGTATGGACGCCGCCATATTGTTTATTTGCAACACTGCGCATGCGCGGAGTCTACGCAACTTCCTTCTTCTTCATGGATTTATTGGCGGTTGGCAACAAACATTTAGTAGCATTACCGCCACTTACTAGTATGGAGTGTGGTTCGTGATTGACTATCTACTGGTAAACATATATATCATTTCTAATGGAAAAAAAGAACAAAATGATATACTTTTACATAAATTTGTATTCTACCCGTCTATATCATACACACATTAAAAATCTAATAATTATTTGTATATGTTTACTTCCCAAATTCTTCCTCAAAATATCTAATAAATTAATCTTTTCCTTAATACATTCAAACTCTCTGCTCATATATCTTCTCTCGCTTTCATATTTATGACATTCCAGTATAACAAGTTCTATTGTTTCATATTTTCCACAGTAATCACATTTGCCAGTAGTATGCTTTCGCATTTTGAAAAATGTATAATTAGGTCCTGTATGCCCAAATCTTAACCTTGTTATCACTCTCTCCTCGTTTCTATTTCGTATTCCATTTCTTTTTTTCCCCTACTATCTTCTGAATTTTACAAAACCACCTTCCTGTTTTTTCTTCATCCCACCTTTTTTGCCATTTATCCATTTTCTTTTTTATTAATACTCTTTCCCTCTGATTTATTTGTTTTAACTTTAAAACTAATAGGATTTTGAATTGCCCTCTTTGTCATTTTATCTGCCCTCTCGTTTCCTTCTACTCCAATATGGATCCCAACCAAATACAACAATCAAACCCATATTTTTTTATTCTGAATAATGTATGAAATATTTCTAATAGAACGACCACCCTACTATCTGACTGATTATATTTTAAACTTAATAATCCAGAGCTTGAATTTGAACAATTTACTGTTTTACACAACATCCGTCTGGGTTTACATAATAAAAGCCAAGAGAAAATTAGATGAAAAGTGGGAATTCTGTTAATATGCCTGAACCATAAAGCTGACTGTAATTTCTAAATAATTGTTCAACTAAATTTTTAAGGCGAAATAAATTGGTTCACGTGACAAATCAGTTAGGGTATCTCTCAGAGCATATCATCATATAAGAAGTGATTTAGTACTACAAAACAACAGTAATTATTTTTTTTTTTACTTTTAATAAGAATAATAAAAATAATAATAAAAATTTATTGATCTCACATTGGAGAAATGTACCTCTTTTATTTAACCCCTCCCCTTGGGGAGAAGTGGTCTGCCATCGTGGGACGCCCGGGGTGAAGTGTGGGGTTAAGGATTTTGCTCAGAGACCCAGAGTGACAGTCTGTGGGAGTGGGGCTTAAACTAAGAACCTCTGGATTCCAAGCTCTATGCCCTAACCAATAGGCCACCAAACCCCATTTAACAAAACTTTATTTACAAATCAAACAATATAAACAACTCTTTATGCAAAATAAATGTCAGTCAATGTTTGTTACTCCATCATTTGACACAGTACATGCAATTTTACAAAATTTATCTTAAAAGAGCAGTATCAGCACTTAATTTCAGCGATAAATAATGATGCCAAATGAATCAAAAGGAAGGAGTTTTTTTTCATCATAGAATTGTAAATATTCCGTCTACAAATTGTCTCACTACATTTATATAAAAAAAATAAAAATAAAAAAAAACTTACTTATATTCCATCTTTGCAGTGTATGTTTTTCAGTGGAAGGCCCCTTACAAGGACCGGGACCAGTTCTACACGGGCAATGGCCCTCCTCGGTCCCTGTTTATAACTATCCAAGAAACTAGATTTAAAATATCAAGAAACAGTGCCTGTCAGAAGGAGAAAAAAAATAAACAATAAACATTTGAACACCATACTACATATTACCCTGGTTATATTTTGGAGTTTAATTTTGAAATAAAAAATATTTTACATTTTTTTTTTTTTTTATTAAAGAACGACAGATTAAATCACAAAGTAAAAATAAGCCAGGGGGTATGCCAAAAATAAGTACCTAAAATTGTCAGGGGTATCAAGGGGTATCAAAAAAAAAAAAAAAACATACAACATTAACTGTCTAGAATTTTGTAGTGTTGGACAGATTGTACTTAGTTTGCTTGTTTGTGTTTTAGTGACTGGAAAATCGGATAGTATAAAAATAATCTGGCTTTTACTTTAGACATTCAAAGTTATGCAAGTGAAGTTTGGCTAAGATAATTACGAAATTGATAAATAAAGTTTTTGGATAAATTTTACTCTGCTGATGAGTATCTGAACCAAATTATAATTTCATTTTATCTATTTATTTATTTATTTTTTGTTTTGTTTTGTGGGAGAATTTACATATAGCATTCCGATCAACACTCCATTCTAGTAGATGGCGGTAATGCACATCAATTGTTGCTTGCTAATCGCCATTAAAACAAAAGAAGAAGAAGAAATATCTGAACCTTAAAGCAAATAAATTGTCTGATTTAATGGAAGAATTTTAGTTAGTCGCCTCTTCTTAATAATTTAATCATTAGTTGTTTTAGAGTGAATTAGAGTTATTTTTCCCTTGTTCTAACCTCAAATTTCTATTGAAGTTAAAAGGAGTTGTGATCTTATTTTTTTTTTCCTGTAATGTTCATTATTGACGTATTGTTTGAGATTGTCATTGATATTCTTTATTTTCAATAATATATATATATATATATATATATATATATATATATATATATATATATATATATATATATATATATATATATATATATTATNTGTCTCGGTATATTCCGCATCCTTTCTTCGCTTTTAACATCGCTGTTTACTCGTCTTTCTGCTCGGTCTCTATGCTGTTAAAGGTCTGTGTTTACCATAGCAACCGTAGCAACTAGCTACTAATATGGCGGCGTACCCAGAATGCAACGCGCTGTGCCCGAGCCTTATTGGCCAGCAGCGCGGACGAGACATCTAGCCTTTATTATGGATATCTATGTATATATATATGAATTTTATTTTGAAATGGTAAGAGCCCGGAAGCGGAAGTGCAGTGTTAGCATAGCGCCAATCTCGTTGTAAACCAAGGCGGAACCGACCGTGTGCATTCATAGTTGTTTGGAAAACCAAAAAGTCCTCTTTCATGCTGGAAACAGCTAGCTACAGCCACATATTTCAAGGCATCTGTGCATCACATTAGGTATGTTAATAGTGAGATTAGCCTCCATTTTAGCAGTTTTTTAAAGGCAGCTAACGGTTTTGTTGCTAGCTTGAACCGCTGCCAGGCGGTCTGAACTTTCGTATGTCTTTGCACCTAGCTTCCAGGAAAACATGGCGGAGCTGATGGACGGTGACCTGGAAGATGGAGAAATTTCAGGCTCCGGCTCGGACGATGAGATGGGTGGAGCTGTGGCCGAACAAACCCGAGCTCACGACTCTGTGGCGTTCAGCGGGGAGTCCTTCCAGCGCATCCCCGCTTCAGTCCAGCCTCCTTCCGCCGCTGCCTATCGGAGCTCCGCCAAGGCGGTGGAGTCCAGTGACAGTGATGCGGACTCGTCCGACGAGGAGGCCGCTGTCTGGCGTCGAAAGCGGCTAAAAGTTTCAAATGCCCCACAACCGCCCGCCGGTCCCCCGCCAGTATCCGCCTGCGGAGCACCGGAAAGCCGCAAGGTGAACAATATTTGGGGCTCCGTGGTGCAAGAACAGTGTCAAGATGCCATAACAGCAGAGCTGGGTGTGTTTGGCATGGAGGGCGTCAGCATGGCCAGCAGAAGTGTTGAAACCTACAATTTTGTTCTGGCTCGGAAGATGATTGAGAAGGAGAGAGAAATGGAGAGGCAGTCCAAGGAGGAAGGAGAGGTGAGCATGCTGGATGCTGAGCTGGAGGATTACATGAAAGGGCGAGGATCAGAGGACAGAGCAGGGGGGGATGCTAAGAGAAAACGACCTGCCAAGGAGAGATTAGGCACTAAAGCTGAGATGGACATAAAAGGCCGGTATGAGATCACAGAGGATGATCCAGATGATAAGGTGATAGATGAAATCGCATACAGACTACAGGAGCCCAAAAAGGAGCTGATTGAGCGTGTGGTTCGGGTTCTTGGGAAGAAGAAAGCCATCGAACTACTGGGGGAGACTGCCACACTGGAGGAAAACGGTGGCATGTACACTATGGATGGAAGCAGGCGGAGGACGCCTGGTGGAGTCTTCCTCAACCTGCTGAAGAACACCCCCAGCATCAGCAAGTCCCAGATTAAGAAGATCTTCCTGGAGGAACAGCAGAAAGATTACAAGAGCAAGAGGGCAGCGCAGAAAAGAAGGCGGCACGTGCTGGCCAAGAAGATGAAGCAGGCCATCGGCACGCTGAACCTGCACGAGCACGACGATGTTTCCAGGGAAACGTTTGCCAGCGACACCAACGAGGCCTTGGAGTCACTGGAGGAGCCTGCAGAGGGAGAGGAGGAGGAGGAAGAGGAGGGGAGGGAGGAAGCTGCTGTAGGGACTGAGGAGACAGCAGTGGTGTACAGCTCTGCAGACCTAGAGGTGTTCTGAGGGTGGACTTTATCATGAGCACATAGAACTAAGACTAATAGAAAACACTGCATTTTTGGAGATTCAAACTGACTTTGGTGTTTGTTTGTTGGCAATAAAAATCTTTTTTTCTAAACTCCCTTTTCTCTGTTGTGCATTGATGAAGATTATTGGCTTAATTTATATACATTCTACCTGAACATTTACTATAGGCCCTAATTTTGAAGTTGTCAGAACAAGATTTGATTCCATGAATTAACTTCTATATGGACAGATGTGTAATGTAGTACTGAGGAGGCATCCACTAGGTGGCAGGCATGCTACTTACTAAGCTATGGCATTTGAACTCATTTTTTCACATCAAAAACTTCATTGTGATGTATAAGTCTTTATGTGCTTCTTTAAACCAACACATTGCATAAAGCAAAGGAGACATTGAAACATTGTGTTTTTAATATATAATCTTTCCATGAATACAATCCTATGATGAGCATTGTGCATCTTTATCATCTTTTTAAAGTCCAACACTATTAGATATCAATTAGTTAATCTATGCCACAC